AACACACACACACACACATGATGAACACATGCACAAGTGTATCATCATCATCATCAGAATAGTCGACATTTTCACGAAAATGAGTCCGTAGGTGGTATTTTGGCACGTACGGCGCACCTGCACCACCTCCTGCCTGCCTGCGTATCTCCACCACCTGCCCCGTTAACACCAGATCATCCATGCACCTGCCCCGCCTGCGTACCTTCACCGCCTTGCACCGCCCGCGTACCTTCACCACCGGCACACCTCCGACGCTATCGCTTCTTGGCGTTTGTTGGATGCGCACCTGCATCACCTGGCGCGCTTGCACCGTACGGCTGGCTTTCGCAGATTGGCGAGCACACCACCGCCGCCGGGTCAGCAACATCTGGTCGATGCTGAGTCATGGACCGCCGCCACCTCCCTCTTCTTACACACTGCCACTGCCATTACAACCACTCCAGCTGTCGTTACTCGTGCCCCGAGTGCCGAGTTCCGGAGCTTCGAGCCGCGATCAGACCCGAACCGGGTCACGAGACGACTCTCTGCAACAGAAATTGGAGAGCGACGGAGAAACGTTCGATGCAAGCGGCGACCGGCTCCATTGGCCAGATGACCGTCATGCTCATCTGGTACACATGCGCGCCTCTCTGCCTGTGTGCGTGTGTGCTGGCGGTCGGGGCCACAGGAAGCCGAGAGATGACCAGGCAGGCCATAAGCCTTTAGTACTATGGCGCCAAGAGTGCATGCATGCCACTCTCCCTTCCTCCCTCTCTCTCTCTCTCTCTCTCTCTCTCTCTCTCTCTCTCTCTCTCTCTGTTTTTATTGTTTCTCTCTCTCTCTCTCTCTCTCTCTGTTTTTATCGTTTCTCTCTTTCTCTCTCTTTCCCTCCCTCTTTGTTGTTCCTCTTGGATAAGCAGGGGATCGTATGGGGCTGCCGTTTGATTTGTGCCGTTCAGGGCAGGGACTCGTAATGATGGGCGCTCGGGGCAATGCATATCATCATCATGACGGGGAAACCCTTCGACACACGCACACACCTGCCGCCGAACAGATGCGTGGTCTGGCGGTCACGCTTTTGCTTTTTGTCGTAATAGCGTTGTAAATGCACGACCCGCTGCCGTTGGTTTTTTTCTCGGTCCGGAGCTCGGCCGGCACTGCCATACGACTATGGATACCTCATCATCATTATGATGCTATGGCAGCCGCGTGACCATGGAGGAAGCAGAGGCGGAGGAGCCGCTGGCAGGGCCACCTGGTTTGAGCTAAAGGGTTAATCAAGGTAGTAGCAGTAGTAATAGCAGCAGCAGTAGCACATCAATGGGCGCTGCCATATTCTCGCCGCGCGGCGATTGTGAGTGGTCATAGAGATCCCGTTTCATTCCGTTTTTTGCTCAGTGAATTTGAAAACACGTTCTCTCTGATATCACACAGCTATCGATAGACATCTCTGGATCAGCTTGATGTTTAGCTTGTGAACATACATGAAGATTAACCCTTCTCTGCACATTAACCCCCTGGCACCAGTCACTCTCTCCCATCGCAATCCTCTATTTTAAGCATCCCCGTCCCAAAATGGCCGGAAGGTCTATATTTAGATCCCAAGCTCTATCCACGACACGCTGCTGATGCATGCCACGACGCATTTTTACGTTTCCTGTTTTAACAAGTCTTGAGACCTCTTCATTTTAAAGCTTTTAAGTTTGAGGTACGCTACGTCAAAACTAGCCGTTACAGCGTTCCTGCGCGCGCTGCGCTGCGCTGTGCGCTGCCCTCCTCTTGTGGTTCTCTTCCTTCGTGCGCGTTTCTCTATGCTCCTTTTCCTCTGTGCGTCTTCCTCTTTCTCCATGTGCTTCCTGTGGGTCGACTCTGCGTCTGTGTTTCTGCACCGTCCCTTCCCCTTTCTTTCCCTCTGTTTCACACCTCCTCGCTTGACCTCTTGCTTCCTCCCCCTCTCTCTTTCACTCGCTCTCTCATTCACTGCTGAGCCTCGTTCCTGTCCTCTCCGCTTTTCTCACCACCCTGTCTCTCGCACATTCCGTCCTTCTTCTGCCGCAAAGCTGTAGGGACCAGAGGATCCGATCCACTTGACTGGCCTCAACCAGATCGGCATGTCCAAGCCCATCTCATCGTTTTTCAGCCCCGTGGGCGTCAAGTCTTCCAGCAAGACATCGGCCAAGCGTGCCCAGGCCGACGTAGACCCTGCAGGTGACCCCGCCTCCCCCACGGCCAAATCCCCAAAAGGTATGGCACCCGCACCCACATCCACATCCCTCGCCCCCTCCTCCCTCACCCCTCGCACCTCCTTGCTCATCACCCATTTTTATCGGCCTTCTGTATCCAACACCCGACAGGAACGCCCTTGAGCCCAGAGCAACAAAAGCAAATTGCCGAGAAACGCCTTGAAGCCGTCCTCAAGCAATGCAAGGCCAAAGGTCTTCCCCTGACCGACAGCCTGGCCCCCGACTGGCGCCAAGCCCTCCGTGCCGAGTTTGACAAGCCCTACTACAAACAGGTAGGCCGTCACGTGCTTGATCGCCTTTTTTTTTTTCCTACTTCATCCCTTCTGCTTCTCTCTGTCTCCTCAACTGATCGCCGTGCCCGCAGCTCATGGAGTTTTTGACCAAGCAACAAGCCGCCAAAAAGGTCATCTACCCGCCTCGTACGTAAACCCCGAGCCCCTGCCCCTCCTTGGCTCCTCTTTGCCCTGTCCTCAACCTGTTGTTTTTGTCCTTATTTTTTGCCTGTCGTCACTCATCTGGCCCGTCTGCCGGATCCACTCTTCTGCAGCGGAGATGGTGCACTCGTACAGCCGCGCCTGCCGCCTGCGCGACGTCAAGGTCGTCATCCTCGGCCAGGTACCCGACAAGCCTGGACAACAAGCCTCGCCTTCCCCCTCTTGAGCCTTGCTCAGCTCACACCAACTACCCGTTGCTCCCCACCAGGACCCATATCATGGCCCAGGCCAGGCCCATGGTCTTTGCTTCAGTGTGCTCAAGGGCGTCGCCAGTACGTTGGCCTGTCTCTGCTTGGCCCTTGGCCATTCTCCGCTCGGTCGCTCGGTCGATCCTCTGCTGCTACTTGCGCTGCCTCATTTCTCCTGCAACTCCCGACCCAGTTCCCGGTAGCCTCCGCAACATTTACAAAGAGCTGACAGCGGACATTGATGGGTTTGTGGCCCCCAAGCACGGCTATCTCCAATCCTGGGCCGATCAGGGTACGCTCCTCGTCTTATCTTGCTTTTGAGTCTTGTTTTGTTTTTTGTGTTTTGTTATCTATTTTTTTTTTTTTTCCTTCCTCTCTGCTCCCCTCCGCTGTGCTCATCTTCATCCACGGCACGGTCAGGTGTGCTGATGCTCAACGCGTGTTTGACGGTGGAGCACAAGCAGCCCAACTCCCATGCAGGACAGGTGAGACTTGAAACAGGCCGTGTGTTTCCTCTCGCAACAGTGGGCCGCGCTTTGCTCACGCTGATGATGAAATTAGGGTTGGGAAAAATACACCGACGCCGTCATTGCATGGATCAGCAAAAACCTCAACAACGTTGTCTTTATTCTCTGGGGCAATTATGCCAAGAAGAAAGGCAGCAAAGTCGATCAGGTGCGCTGCTACCCCACTGGGTCCCGCTCGCGCCTCGCCAAGACTGACCAGGCTCTCGCATGCCGCGTGTTCGATGTTGCTCCGTGTAGAAGCGCCACTGTGTCCTCGCTGGCGCCCACCCGTCACCCCTCTCTGCCACCAAGTACTTTGGTGTGTTGCTCAACTCATGCGCGAACCGAATCCAAAGGCGATTGTTGGCACGTCACTCACTTGTTTTTGACTTGGTGTGGGCTGCAGGCTGCCGGCACTTTAGCCGGGCCAACGAGTACTTGAAAAAGCACGGCAAAAAGCCCATCAACTGGAGCTCCGTTTCTGACGCATAGGTCAATTTTTTGTCTGTTTGTTCGTCCCTTTCTGTTGCCTCCTCCTGGGGCCGTTGGCTTTTTGGGCTCATGCACAGGGCCACGGCTGGTTGTTGAGTTTTTGTTGCATTTGGTGCTACCTCTTTTTTTTTAAAAAAAAAAACGCCACGCGTGGTGTTGCATATCCCATTGCCTGCCTCCATCGCACTCGAGTGAGTGGACCTGATCTGTGTTTTCGGAAGACGAGGGGGCTTGCCTCCCTCGCCCTCTCCTCTCTCGAAGGAATTGATTCAAAAGATGACTCGCAATTTTTCGGCCTGCGCTTGCATGCACGCACTTGGACGGGGATGCCTTGTTCGGTGTGCCTTGAGGACCGGAGCTGTGGCGTGTGGGCGCATCGGTTGCCGGGGCGGTGGGGAACAGCTCCAGCCCGCGCGAGTTGGGCTGTGCCTGCAGGCCGTTGCGGCGGACAATGCTGCCTTCCGTCAGTTCTCTGCCCAAAATACGTTCACGACACGAATCTCTCAAATACCTTTTCTTTACCATTGTATGTTATTCGATAGAAATGCATATCTCTGGAAATAATACCCACTGCAAGCAACTCTCTGAAAAGTTGATGGCGATCTTTCGAATTTCAGACATCGCAACGATGTGTGTACGATTGCAACAGCAGCTGCGTCTCTCTGGTTTAAAGCTGATATCCACCTGTATCTCTGCTACAATCTCTCATAGGGTGATATTCTCTGTATTTGACTTGGTTTTTGTTAACAGTTGGCTACCATTCATCGCGCACTCTCTCACGCGAGGCGGCTTTGAAATAGCTTCTCTGGATGTCGCACACATGTTTTTCTCTCCCTCTCTCCCTCTCGTCGCAGGGCGTCGACGGCATTCAGCGCGCAGTCGCGCGAGCAGTTCAGTGCAGACGCCAACAGACGACACCAGGGCTAGAGGCGAACGCACAAAAAAGGGCGTAGCGCTGTTTGGCTTGGCGCGTAAGTTCCAGCTGCCTCAATGGCGATGCTGATACTGCGTGTGCGCCACTGTGCTCATTTGAGGACTTGCCGCTGTAGGGCCTCGTCGCGTCGTCGCCATTGGCAGCACCACCACCTCCGTCCATTATCATCACACCATCCGCTGCGCCAGCATCGGCTAGCACCAGCTGTCGCGGTGCAGGGCTGGGCAGCCCACGGCTCCTTGTTGCGCCGGAAGCAGCAGACAACCACCTAGGCCTTGCGGGTCTCAACAACAGACGCCATGACGCGTTCACGACATGGCAGCAGCAGTACGGCCAATGGCTCGGGCGAGGCGCCCGCAAAGCCCAAGCCCTGGCTCTGGATTATTAGCTACATGTTTTTCGCTGGTCTGTTGTCCCCTCGACCCTGACTCTGCCTTTGATGCTCTCCCTGGACCGATGATCACTCACAGCACAGTTGATCGCCGGCGTTGTTTCAGGCATGGACTCGATCTTGCTGCACGTGAATGACCGCGGCGACTGGCAGCCGCCCACAGCCCTCTATCTCTTTGTGTTCATGGTGGGCGAGATGATGATCCTGCTGCCCTGCGCCCTGCTGCTCCGCAGCCGCGGTCGCGGTGGGTTCAAGGCACCGGCCGTGCGCACCGGTTTCATGGCTGGTGCGCTCAACGGCATTGGCGTTCTGGGCTTTGTCGCCCTCAACGGCATTGAAGAGGGTGAAGCCTCTAGCATCGCCCCCTTTAGTTCCCTCTACGTCCTCATTCCCATTCTCTACGGCCTCATTGTCCGGCGCGAGAAGCTCACCGCCCAAAAGGCCATCGGGGTTACCGTCGGCGTCCTCTCTACCGTCAGCTTTATTTACAGCGGCTCCATCCCTCTCGGGGTCAATCGCCCCGACATTGTCCTTGCTGCCATGGCCTGCTTTGTTGGTGCGTTGCCACAGTATTCCAGACCCCCTCTCCCTTGTGGACATGCCCACAAGCATGGCCACACCTCGATACACATCCACACGCGCGCGCGCCTACATACACACACAGATGCCAATGCAATTTGACATCCATTTCCATGTGGCGCTCATGTTTTACTCTCGTGTTTGCCTCTGTCCTAGGTTGGGGTGGGTGCATTCCATTTTATCACCACATGTCAACGTGGCCCGAGAGTAGCTTTGCCGCAGCCTACATTGTCAACATCCTGACCTTTGGGATGGTGGGTCTGGTGCCCACTCTGTTCACGGCGCCCATGCTGCCCGACGTCCGAGAGCTGGGCATGCTGGAAATTTTCAACCGCTCCAGAAACCTCTTGGGCGCCGGTGCTTGCGACGGCCTGTCCTCCCTGGCCTTTATTGCCATGTCCGCTGCCTACCCGGAAGACTCGGTTGTCGTCGGTACCCTCTCCAGCCTCTACGTCATCTTCCCCACCGTTGTTGGCCTGCTTTGGCTAGGTGAATCTCGGACCACGGGCAAGATTGTTGCCGTGGCCCTTGGTCTCTTGTCCTCGGGTCTCCTAAGCGCCGAGGCCTGAGTGGCTTCCAAAAGAAGGAGACGTCATGATGTGAGAGGAAAAAGAGGCGTTGCAGAGGTATCTTGCATGTTTCGTCGTCGTCTTTTGTCGCTGTTTGGGCGGTGCCCGTTGTTTTAGCGTGCATGCTATGGCCAGAGAATAAGTTAGCCAAGGGCCAGAGAAGTGGGCGCAGGTGGGGGGAGGCGCGTTGTTGGCGTGCATGCCTCGTTGTCCGTCTCCGCGACTCCAGCAATTGTGTAGTGCTGTAACGCCGAGTGGCACGAGGCCGCGCCTTTGATCCGTCTTTGTCTCGCATCATCCTCTAGGTCGTGCATCCAAGTCGTGGGGGCACATGTGATGAATATGACTGTGTTCTTCGCCTGATTTCAAATGCATTCCAATTCGAATTTAAATAGCCTAAATTTTCCTCCTCACACTCATCCGCAACCCAGACCCAAAAGAAAAAAAGAAACGAGCAGCCAAAAAAAAATGAGAAGCAACCCAACCCGCTTTACATGGTTGTGGGTCATCTCTGAGCTACGTGGCCTTTCCGAGCTATTTCACTGCTCCGAGCGAGCCGGCCCCTCCGAGGATGTCACAGATGGTGACGAGACCCGCTCCAAGCAGGATAGCGAGTCCATGTGCCAAGGTCGTGATCGGCTCGGCCACCACGACATAGTAGGCGTTGACGATTAGACAGGTCGAGGTGAACAGCCGCAGCGTCGAGAGCTCTTGCCGCAACGCTTCGGGGCGTGCACGCCGCTGCCACCAGCGATGGGGGACCACATCCACCACCAACATGCCCGCCATGGCGTTCCACACAATGGAGACGCCGGTACACCCCACGGCCAGACAAAGTCCAATCTGAAAGACCGTGATCCCCACCACCAGAGCACCTCGCACCCACCGCCCCCTCATTCCCAGGTGCCGATAGCACCGCCAACACACCGCCAACCCATAACCAAGCAATGTATAATTGATGGCCACGTCCAACACCGCCCCCTCGTACGACAAGACGGCGCACACCTCCTCCCTCAACCCGCCCATCTCCCTAAAACAGAAAAAAAATTAAAATTTTGGGCATCTCGATCGCGATGTGGAAAATCTGACAATCCCTTCCATTGTCATCATCTGACAACAGTTTTTGCTTTTTCCGGCTGTGTGCTATATATGTAGTATTATGAATAGCTGAGTTCAACAAGTGATTCCTGCGTGGCGCAATTGGTTAGCGCGTTCGACTGTTAATCGAAAGGTTACGAGTTCAAGCCTCGTCGCGGGAGCTACACGATTATTTTTTGTCTTTTTGTAACGTAGAGACGGTGAATGCTATTTTGCTATGGGGGAAATGCGTGTGGAGTACTTCAGGCTGATGCTCTGGCGAATGGTGCTAGGTGGGGCACACGATGGATCCAGAGCTTGTTCTGATGTTCTCTTTTTTTACATGTTAAGCCGGGGGGCTATAATCGTCGATGCTGAGCCCCGTGTTAGTTTTTGTCTAATTGTACCGTATTCGGCCAATATTGAGCGGGCAGGGTGAGCAAGACATTCCACTTCGTGTAATCAGATCGAATGCTGTACAACAGTGAGAGTATGCGTCGGACGGACTCTGAATAGCGCACGGCGACGATCCTGGAGTCTGCTTTCTGCCGGCTGCGTTGGCTGGCTACAAACATCATTCGACGTGGTCAATTACTAAAATTTTAAGCGTAACCTATACGCCACCGTGGAAAACAATTGATTGGTCGGAACAAACTTGGTGTACACGCTCGACAAACACGTATACTGACGTACCAGGCATGGTATATCCCAACGGCAGCGCCTGTTACAAGTCACGTCCATGCTATACTCTCCTCAACTGCAGATATGAGCCCTGATCTGACTCGAACAGCAAGGGAAAAAAAAGCAACGAAAAACCAAATGTAATTACACCGAAAAGGGAAGCTGACGATTTTTTAATTGTAAGACAGTGTTTATAAATGGAATTATGCATGCGGGTATTAACAAGTGATTCCTGCGTGGCGCAATTGGTTAGCGCGTTCGACTGTTAATCGAAAGGTTACGAGTTCAAGCCTCGTCGCGGGAGCTACACGATTATTTTTTGTTTTTGGTCGACCCGATCATGAATGAGAGCTTCAAATGAGAGATGAGAGAGAGCTTGGCACAGCGGCGGCAGTGGAGAGCTCTCAGACCGCTCTTCGTGTGTTTTTTTTTAACATCCAGGATGAAAATTTTTTACATGTTATTTTTTTAACATCCGGATGTAAATTTTTTTTTGCTTCTTGCCACCATGCCACCACAGGCCTCCCCCATGGTAACGCGGCCGTCATATGAAGAGCGCATGCCCACGACCACCACACCCACAATTGACCACTGGGTTCAATTTACAAATTCAGACTCGAGAATGACGATACGAAATCAGTCTCTAGTGTCCAACGCGGCAGTCTCATCCCATCCCGATAGGTTGACTACCAGGCCGTTTCGACGTAGTCCTTGAGGAAGAGGCCTTGGAGCTGCTCACCGCTGCCGACTCCGGCAAAGACGGGGTGGACGACTCGCGCAGCGGCATCCACCTCGTCGATTGGCGTTTGAAAGTTGTGCTCCTCAGCAATGCGGACGGCCTTATCCAACGGGTTCTCGTCGTTGATCCAGCCCGTGTCCACCGCATTCATATAGATGCCCGCCTGAGGTAGTCACACGGCGCGCATCCGTGAAGCCACGCCATGGCAGGGTGCGCAGGGCACTCCAGAGGTCAAGCACGCACCTGAGCATAGTCGGCCGCCGAGGTGCGCGTCATCATGTTGAGCGCGGCCTTGGCCATGTTGGTATGCGGATGGTTGGGCGTCTTGAACCGATAAAACTTGCCTGTCGCCGCGCAAGAAAGAAACATATCAGCGGGGGCAGACACGGCCGAGACCACGAGTGGCCAGCGGCGACGCCGTACCTTCCATAGCCGAAACGTTGACAATGTAGCGGTCGGCGTGTGGGGAGCGCACCATCAACGGCCGCAACTTGCCGTTGAGCACAAAGGGGGATAGCGCGTTGACGGCCATCACCTGGTCGCACGCGGGAGCGTCAGTCAACGAGGCACGCAACGTTGTCCTTGCCACGACCACAAACGCACCTCGGCGGCCTCAGGGGTGGAAACTTCTTCGAGCTTCATAACCCAGCTCGTTTTGGTCCGGAGGTCAATTTGTTGGGCATGGACATCGGTCAGACCCGTGGGAAAGTGCTCGACGTTGTCGTCATAGTCCTCGAGCGTCATGGGGATCTGACAGGCGCACAGACCGTGACGTGGCACAGCAGGCACAGAGCAGGCACAGAGCAGGCATAAAATTGCGCCAACATACCTGGGTACTGAGGGCAGCGAGGGCCGAGTGGGGTAGAGAGGCCGCATCAAGCCGGGCGGGGGCGGCGCTCGTGGCGGTGGGAGGTTCAGGGGTGGGAGGCTCGGGAGCGGGGCCGAGCTGAAGCTGGGCCAACATGTCACTAATCATGACGTTGTTCTGGCACACCTGCGGTGGCAGGGCTGCCGGGCTCACTTCGTCTTGGAGCAGGTGACGGTAGTAGGCCGGAGGACGACGAATGGTCTGGCACGCATTGTTGATGATGACATCTAGCCTGCGAGAAAGGACCCGGAAGCGCAGGGACCGGCGCGCCACACGCCGGTCAGGTATATCAAAACTGAGGCCATGCGGTGGTGTACGTGCGACGGGGGCCAACGCGTACCACTCGTGATGCTCGCGCATCCACGTGCAAAACGACTCGACTGCGGCCAGGTTGCGCAGGTCGAGGCCATAAATCTGAACCCGATCCAGCCAGGCGGCGCTATCGGGCTCCTGGTGACGCAGAGCACACACGTGCGAATCGGCATGCAGGTGAGAGCGGATAACTGGGAACAGGTGCGACCGGGCCAAGGGATCGTAAAGGCGGGCGAGACCTGCTCAAGGCGCTGGAAGCAATTTTGCGGGAAGCGAGTCGTCACAATGACGTGGGAGCCTGCGCGAAGCAGCTTGAGGACAATCTGCGCGCAGCATGCAGGATCAGCATGTTGAAATCATACACGTGCGCCCGGGGGCTATGGCATGCAGTGTGCACCTGGTAGCCAATTTTGATGCGTCCGCCGGTTACGAGGGAGATGCGACCGCTCATGTCAGCCTTGAGATGGCGCTACGCGCAGGTCAAGGAGTGTGGCAAAGAGGGCGCAGATCAGATTGGCAACGATCCTGGCACAAGGCCAAGCCAAGAAGCGATTGGAGGTTGTATACTGCGGCTAGCGATGGGCAGGCAGAGCGGCGGGTTTGAGGCACGGTCACACCTTTTCCCAATTGAGAGCCGCACACGCAGGACAGAGCTGGTCATAGAAATGGTGCAGCTCCTGATAACTAAAAGCCCAAGGATGAGGGTTACAGGGAGCATGGCCAGCGAGCGTCAGGGAGAAAGAAAGGTGGTGGCGGGCGCGGGCGTATGCTGGCAGGCCGAATCACGCTCGCAGAGAATAATGGCCATGTGCGACGGACCGAGCTTTGCAGATGTAGCAACTACGGAGAATGTGCTCGAGGGAGCACGTCTCTTCAGCAGGCGGGTCCGAGGCTTCGGTAAGGGCCAGTTGCTCCGAGTAAGAGAGAGCGGGTCCGTCTGGGACGGCCACATGCTAAGGAATGCGGAAAAAAAGGGGGCGGATGAAAGACAAGGTGAAAGGTGCAGGTAGGCCTACAAAATGTGTGGTCGGCCGCAAATGTTTGCCGTCTGCCTACCTCGAGCTCGTGCTGGCGAGCCTGGTCTTGAATGCGTTGGAGGGCGTCCAGGCGCTGGGCTCGGAGGCGCCGGCTCTCAATCAGCTTTTGATCCATCTGCCGCTGCTTCATGCGGCGAAAGTTGGTTTCCTGCTTGCGATGCTTGCTGCTCTTGTACTCGTCCCAGGAAAAGCCAGCAAAGTTGCGTCCCGAGTCGTGCGACACGATCGGCCGCAGCGTCGTGCGCAGCTGACACAAGTAACCAAGACCATCATCAGGGCACAGGGCAGTCCTACAATGGCACAGGGCCACGCTAAAACGCCACAGCACCTACCTCCTTGTACGTGCGGCTGGCGTAGCGATCCAGATCCGAAGCCAAGACCGCCAGCACCTATACGACACACACACACACACACATATGATCGCGCCAAGCTGAGCGCGCCTGCTCTGCGGGAACCGACAGCGCCATCATTGACGCTCATACACCAGCACCTTACCTTCAAGGTCGTCCTATACTCCTCAGCGGTAAACCCCTCATGCAAATCATCCTCTGCTTCCTGATCTTCCTCGTCAGCCGCTGCCGCCGTTCCAAAGGGCAGCCACAGCTCCATCGCCTCATCAGCATCTTCCTGTCCGTCCGACGCCATGATGCCTCGTGGTGCGAAAAATGCGTGTGTGGTAATGACTACAGGTCCGTGTGAGGATGTGTATGCCTGGGTGTGCGACTATTTATAGCGTTTTAGGTGAATGGTTGACGTTCAGGTGTGGTGAAGTTGTATCTCGTGTGTGGCGATATTAAAGCAAACGTATGCTTGGGTTATTATCTCAATAACAGCCCTCCAATATAAATTACCATGACAATGACGTGAATTCGAATTTCAATACTACCTCTCCAAACTAATAAACTGTGATATTGGTGAAGTGCGTCGTCGATGCTCGCAACATGTGCTTGCATGAAACGGCAGCGTGAAGGATCCAAGGGGGGTGCAGTGGACGATTGAGGCAAGGGATAGAAACGATATCGATTGGCGTGCTAGCTGGGCCGTGGTTCAGGTGTGGGTGTGTGAAAAGCGGCCATGTAGTCGCTTAAAGTTGGAATGGTCAGGCGCTCGTAAAAGTACTTGGCCACAGGACTGGACTGCTCGTCACACACGATCATGTTGCTGAGAAGGACTGCCACGTACAGGTAGCCGGTAACTGGTCGCATCTGCATGCGCATGGCGCGAGGATTGGCAAGGCCTTCGAAGCGAGAGAATACCCCAGTTCCCGGTGCGCCAAAGCACCAATCAACGGCCACTCTTACGCTGTCGAGCTGTTGGTCGTGAGCCACGGCTTCCTGCTCGTTGTTTGCCCCTCGCCTAGTCTGTGCGGGTCGCACAATGCGCTTCGACTCGGGGTGCGCCTGGTCACCCAGGATACACCACGGCGCTCGCTCCGGCCACAGCTGACCAAGGCGTCCCTCAAGACCCAAGCTCGCCAGCATGACGGCATCCTGCGTGGGACCTGAGGGTAGGCAGATGGTTGCAATGAGGTTGTGGTATGTGAGTTTGCGCTCGGCTCAATCAAGGGTAGGCTGACCTCGAAACGGCCCATAAAAGCTGATGATGATGCCGTTGGGCGCCAAAACTGCTTGATATCGGAGCGCGTGCGCCTGACATGGCAGCAGCACGTGAGCGACAAATGATTGCGAGACCAAGGACATGCTACGCATGCACCCACCTTGTCCTTGCCAACGCAGAACCATCGCTGGGCCTCGCCTGCGGGTCGGGCGATATGATGGTCGGTTCGGTCAATAAAGGCACAGATGCCTGCAGTTGGAGGATGGCGGGTTGCCACAGCAGCTGCGCCTTGCTTGGCCCAGCTTGGTTGAAAGTAGCGCTCGTCAAAGTTCATCCGCTCCTGTACCAGCGCTGTCAAAGCCAGGACAAACGTGTTGACGACCTTTGACAGTTTTTGCGAGGTCCATGATAAGTTGAGCTCTCGCACGGCGTCCACCAGTCGCAAGGGGCGGTGGAACAGGGTCAGAAAGGCGACCAATGCGTCTCGCACAGGTACAGGCACGGCGTTGTCTGGTAGGGCGGGCAAACTGGCAGCAATGCGTTCAAACTGCGCACGATCGGCCAAGCCACACACTCGCGGCCACCAGGCGTCGTCCAACAGATCAAAAACGACGTGAGGCGTGCCCCCTGCGCAGATGGCAGACTTGTAGTGCGGGTAGAGACTCCAAAGCTCGGCTTGTAGGCCACGCGCTAGTTCTGAGGCCATTATCAGTCCCTCCCGGATGCCCTCCTCGTTGATTTGACCCAGATTTTCGAGATGGCTCAGGTAATCAACAACGAGGTCGATGGTAGCGAGGTATAGCACATTTCCGTTGCGCTCAATCTCTCGAATGATGGCGCATTTTTGGCTTGTCGTCAGACGCACATCCCGCTCCACGCGCCGGCGCGGTATCCGTCTGGTTCGCGGCCGCGCCATGCTTTTTGCCTGTCGTAATGCCCAAGGTGATAATGATAATACCACTGATCAACAGCCAAGCACACTGCGTTGCGCGGTCGGCGGGTGGCGTGAGTGACAGTAGGCGGCTGGGCCACAGCAAGCAGCACAGCCCGGGCCTGGGCGTTCGCCATCATCCTGGAGCCCATCACGGTCAACAACGGGACGAGCGAACACAGTGACAATCACGCAAATCAATTGTCAGAAAAAACAAAATGATAATTAAATCCATGTTCTATATATGTAATATTATGATCAGCAGACTTCAACAAGTGATTCCTGCGTGGCGCAATTGGTTAGCGCGTTCGACTGTTAATCGAAAGGTTACGAGTTCAAGCCTCGTCGCGGGAGCTACATGATTACTTTTTGTCTTTTATCGCTCTCCTTTTATTGCTCTCCTTCTTCTTCTTCTCGTCCTTCTTCGACAAGCTTCCGTGCACTGCCTCTTCTCTTTATTAGTCTTTAGCTTTGTATTTGTCTCTCTCGCTTTGTTCGACTTTACCTTGTTTCCTGTTGTTACATGTGGTAGTTGTGCTTTTCCTTTGTGTCTTTGCTCTTTATTTCTCCCGACCAAACCATGAACGCCCTTTGTTACCAAGTGTCATCGCCTACTTTTTTTTTTTTCTTTTTGTTCTTTGACTTTCGCTCCACTGTTGTGTTAGGGGCAAATGGGGATGGCTGGCTGGTGTTGGATCGGGTCGGAGCGTTAGGGGTTGGTGGGTGTGCTTGGGCCGGGTCGGGTCGAGCTTGTGCAACAGGGTCATGAGCTTGACTGTTTCTTGATTGAGAGGGTGTGGATGAAATGTTGTTTCTCCAACCGACACGGTTCTGTAGACCGGAAGTGGCATTTTACTTTGTACCTTTCCCGTTTCAATTTCCTCTGTTTGCTTTGTGAATTCACCACAAACAGATCACATCCAAAAAAATGGCTTTTACTCGCTTTGTAGCCTAGCACAAATTAATTCCGTACATGGTGATCAACGCAAAGGCTGGCATCGACAATCAACGCCCCTACAGTCTTCGAGGTATCAAGGCGTGCCGCAACCGTGTGCTGGAAGCAGCGATTAAACTCAAAATGCTGAGAGACCAACGGGCGTCGACAGAGTGCTCCAATGATTGCCTGAACGGCTCATGCTGATGATGATGATGTCACGACACTCCGCATCGCCCGAGGAGCAGAAACCAGGAGCAAGTGAAAAAAAAAAAAAAAAAAAAAAAAAGAAGAAGGACATGAAGCACAGTCATTGAGCGCGCGCCTCGCACTTGTCTGACCAACTTTTCTTGGACGCGCGTTGCCATGAGCTTAAAGCTGGCTCGCTCGCCGTCAGGAATGGTGGCTCACATACCCGGGCGGGGGATAAGATTGATGTGACTGAAGGGGCAGTTAGCCAACGGGCTTGTAACGTCATGGCAGGCAACGAGGCAGTACACGTTGTACGTTCAAGCGCCAGTTGTGCGGTGCTTTGGAAACCACTTGTAACAGGCGAGCTGTCATGTCGGGCAAAGGGGCGATACAGGTTGTACGTTCACAAGCCCCAATTTTGTGGTGCTCTAGAAGCTGCTCGTAACGGGTCATGTTTGGCAAAGGGGCAGTACACGTTGTACGTACACAAGCCCCAGTTTTACAGCACCTTGGAAGCTGCTCGTAACAGGCGAGCTGTCATGCCAGGCAAAGGGGCAGTCCACGTTGATACGAACACAAGCTTGACGGCGCTTTGGAATTTGCTTGTAAGACTGTTGTTGTTTTGACTTTCCTCTCCGAAAATAAAAAAGTAAAAAAGAAGAAGAACAAGGTGTAAACGTGTGTGTGTGTGTGTTGCTTGCATTTTCCTTCTTCTGGCCTCTCTCTTTGGCTTGTTGCCATTGCTTTTGCTTTTGATCTTCTTCTTCTTCTGCTTCTTGTTGGTGTTGCCCTTTCTTGGCAGCGGTCTCGGTATCAAAATTGGCATCGGCGGGCTCCTTGATGTGTCTTGCTTTGTGTGTGTGTGCGTGGTGACTGATCGCTTGTGCTTGGTACGGGACTTTCCTGGTCGGGGCCTTGCAGCGACGCCAGAACGTTTTGATTGAAAGCACCGATGCCATTTTTTTGTTTTTTGCTTTCAGTTGACCTCACTGATCTCACCTCGCAGTCGACAACGTGCGCTGGGCAACCAAGTACACCTGCCCTCGCAACTGTCATCGAGAACTGTTAACCAAAAGGTGAGTCGTTTGGTGCACCAGGCAGAGAAGAGCAAGGAGCCCGCTGACCGGCTGCCGTTTTGGAAGCGCGCGCCTGTCGGATCCCAGTCCGAATTCCGGGTTGTCAGACGAGTTGTACTTGGAGGGGGCTCATGAGATTGGTGATAGATAGAGAAGCAAGCAAAGCGGTTTGAAGCGGATGGTGAATAGAGAGATACCGTTGCCATGAGTGCTGATGGAGAGCAGCTGTTCAGTGCGTGTTGTTCATCAGATCCACAAAAGGCGCTGCAGCTGTTGACCAGTTGGGACCAACAACGTATACGAGATGCTGCCCAATACAAAGGTGGTTGGGTACGTATGCTGTTTGGTATGATGTTGTGTGATACTGGTTACACTTTGAATATGTCACTGGATGGGGTGACGTTATGGTATAACATGGGACATATACTGCATGTTTGCATTTTGCCACAGATTGGCCATACACCACTGCACGGGGCCTGCATTAACGGTCATGACAAGGTGGTGGAGATGCTGTTGAAGCACGGTGTTGATACTAAAGCCAAGGACAACGTCAGTACAGTACCTCCCTCTTCCCCCCCTTTACCCCCCCCTATGATGATGCACCCGTACCCCATGATGATGATGATGATGATGCTGCTGTACCTGTACGTCATGCTGATGCATCATCCCACAGGGTGGCCGTACACCACTGCACGATGCCTGCGATAACGGTCATGACAAGGTGGTGGAGATGCTGTTGCAGCACGGTGCTGATGCTAAAGCCAAGGACAACTCGGTCAGTACAGTACCTCCCTCTTCCCCCCTTTACCCCCCCTATGATGCTGCACCCGTACCCCATGATGATGATGATGCTGATGCTGTACGTCATGCTGATGCATCATCCCACAGAATGGCTATACACCACTGCACAATGCCTGCTATCACGGTCATGTCAAGGTGGTGGAGATGCTGTTGAAGCACGGTGCTGATACTGAAGCCAAGACCAACGTCAGTACAGCACCTCCCTCTTCCCCCCTTTACCCCCCTCTATGATGGTGCACCCGTACCCCATGATGATGATGATGCTGTACCTGTACGTCATGCTGATGCATCATCCCACAGGGTGGCCAAACACCACTGCACTATGCCTGCGATAACGGTCATGACAAGGTGGTGGAGATGCTGTTGAAGCACGGTGTTGATACTGAAGCCAAGGACAACGTCAGTACAGTACCTCCCTCTTTCCCCCCTTTACCCCCCCTATGATTTTGCACCTGTACCTCATGATGATGATGCTGATGCTGTACCTGTACGTCATGCTGATGCATCATCCCACAGGGTGGCTATACACCACTGCACGGGGCCTGCATTAAGGGTCAAGTCAAGGTGGTGAAGATGCTGTTGAAGCACGGTGTTGATACTGAAGCCAAGGACAACGTCAGTACAGTACCTCCCTCTTCCCCCCTTTACCCCTCTGACTGCTGCTCCTGCTCCCGCTGCCCCGTCGCCTTTGCCCCCGTCCCTCCTCTCCGCTACACCCTGCCCACCCGTGCGCGTCCGTTCTTCCCCCCTGACTCCTTGTCTTCTTTCCCGCTGTCCCTCTTCTTTCCCTTTTTTTCTTCCGCGCTTTGCCGGTGCTCCCCGCGCCCCGCCCTGCTCCCGCTGGTGTCTTCCGCCTGCCGTTTTCGCTCTCCCCTTTTTCTGATCCATCCCCAGCCCCTTGCCATCACGCTTCTGCCTCCCTCGCACGCTCAAGCGACTTTCGGTGGCCGTGCCTTCACGTTTGCATCCAACACACGCGCCGTTTCTTTCTTTCTTTTCTTTTCTTTTCTTTTTTTTTTTTTTTCTTCTCTCCAAGCGCGCCTCCGTTCGGACCCCTGTTACCTGCCCGCACCATTTGCACACCACTCGCGCGTCTGGCGGCTCCGGCCCACTTCAAAGCATTGTCACCTCGCCTTTGTTATGTAAAAGCAAATGCGCGTCGCTGCCCACCTCACACGCTCAAATCACATGTTCTCAGGGTGGCGAAACGCCCCTCGATTACGGACGTCTATGCGGGCATGGCGACAAGCTGGAGCCCGTGTTTGCTGCTCACGAGGCTCGCCTATCACAACCACCCGCACCACTCGCTCCGCCCACGCCGGCACCGCCTTCCGCCTGGCTACCGCCTCTGCCCACCACCCCCACCCTCGAGGTGAGCCTGCTCCCCCATCTTGTTTCCCCCAATGCATTTACTACCCCAATTCCCACGGCCTCATCCAACCTAATCACGACCAATGGCACCACAACCCTCCATTAGACCACGGCCTCTGTTGTGGTGGCGGTGGACAAGTGGCTCAAGCCGCTCTTGCCCACGCGCACCACCAGCCATACTCTCCCCCACCTCGATGCCTTTATCAGAGGTGCCGCCAAACAAAACCCCAATCTTGCAACGGCGGTTGCGGACATCCAGATGACCATCGATGAAGCGCCACCAGAGTTTCCCGTCATGGATTGGGCTGCCTTCCAGACGACTACCACCCAGGCTCTCAACACACTCGACCAGGCACTGGCAGCGCCCGAAGCGTTAAGCAACCGCTTGAAGCAATTGGACCCCAACACTGACAACCTAGAATCAGTGCTGCAAGAGCTGCACGGTGTCACTGCTGGTTTTGAGCTGCAGCCGGTGCTTCTCGAGCTTCAGGACGTGCTGGCAGCGTGCCCCGCTCCACCCACCACGCCAGTGATCGCGCCCAAGAAGCCACCCACCGACCTAGCTTCGGCCCTGAGAAAAGTCATCGTTCTGAGCGGCGTGGAACCCAAGCGTCAGGAGCTGCTCACCAGCGCCAACAGCAACCTCAAGCGCCTCGTGCTGGCCTTGATTGATGCCCTGGGCGCCGTGGCAAGAGCGGGAACTACCGACACAATTCATCGCGTGGAGACGCTACGGCAGTGCGCGCAATGCGTGGATGCAAGTGCACCACCTCCAGCCGAGGCATTGCCCGGGGCCTGGGAGGAGCTGTGCCAAGCGCACGAGAAGCTGAGCCTGCTCGAGCAGAACGGTCTTGAGCAAATTGCTCAGTGGCAACCACCTCCAGACTACGAGCATCAGGATTGGTACTTGGCGTTTGTGCACCACGAGTCGCAAGCTCTGCTGCAGCAGTTGCAAGACATGATCGACTGGCAGGCCACGACGCTCTCCGTGTTGACCTCGTGCATGAGTCACGTGGACAGCTTGACCCAAGGCGTTGATGATGAATTGGTTGCTGCCAACGAGGAACTGACCAAGGTGGAGAATGAGATGCAAGGTATCAGCGCGGCATTGCAGCTGGTGCCCGAAGCTGTTCGGTCTGGTCTCGAGCAGGAACTCAAAAAGCTAGAAACGCGACGCGACACCTTGCGACAACAGTTATCAGATCAGCCACACGTGGACCACGTCGCAGAGCTCGCCCAGCTGCTGTACCAACACTTTCCAGCGCTGCTGGTCTTTCTGCACCCTGAACAAAGCACGCTGGGAGCGCGCCTCCGCACAGTGCTTGGGCCCGACCTTCCAGCCAGTCTTATCTTGGAGGCCATGACCGAAGTGGATCGCACATTGTCGCTCTCCAGCCTGGGCCAGCTTGATCTTCATTACAACCAAAACCACAAGGTGTACAAGGCCCGTGCCGCGCTGAAAGATTCTGGGGAACAAGATTTGGCCGTCAAGGAGTATGCATTTGCTCGGCAACACAAGCAGGATCAGTGCCGTACATTCTTGCGCGAGCTTCGCGCCATGCGCCAGCTTCAGCACCCACACATCATCCCGGTCCTCGGCGCGCTCGTGGACGTACACAGTGGCCACCCGAGCGCCTACCTGGTGCAGCCATGGTGTGCACAGGGTGATTTGCAGCAGTGGCTCAGCAAGGCACGGCACCTGGCCACCTCGACCGTGATTTCGAATCTGATGAATCAGCTGCGCACGGCGCTGGCGTTTATGCATAGCAAGGGCTTGGTGCATCGGGATGTCAAGCTGAGCAACATCATGTTGGACGGTGCAGAGGACCAACCTGTTGTGCGGCTGGGCGATTTTGACATTGCCAAGGCCGCCGCTGAAGCCACCATGCTACCATCTACGGCCACCGCATCGTCGGGCACGGCGGGCTATGTGGCACCGGAGGTGCTATTTGGAATGGGTCGTGTGGGAGCACGCCCGGCACAGGATGCCTTTTCCTTTGGCTGCGTTCTCTACAACACGTACATGTATCCACAAACGGTGCCACCTGCTCAATCGCGAACCGATGAGGTTGTGGGTCATTGCAGATGGAATTTCCAAGCGGGAGATGGTGCCTTTAGCTTTCCTCATTTGGCGGCCGAGGTCAGTCAATTATTATTTTTTTCTCTATGATTTTAAGACGCTCTGGTTGTCGTCGTCGTCGTCGTTGTTGTTGTAGTTGCTCATACCTGTGTTTCTGTGCAGATGTGCGACATAGTGGGCGATCTGTACAAGGAAACGCGAGCCTTGCTGGCAGCAGATCCAAAGCAACGGCCAAGCCTTTTCAGCGCCGGGCAAATCGCAGAACGACCTGTCACGACCCAAGTTGTTGGGCCAGCCATTGATGTCTTGCGCGATGCGCCCGAGCTCATTTCAGAGGTGCGTTGCTTGTGATTTTTTTTTCTCTCTTCCACGAATCGTCTGATTTGAACCTACTGGGTGGCTAGGTGGGTGAGCTACTGAAGCAGCTGAACACCGATGGGCGGGGACCAGCGAATATCACAGTGCAACGAGTGGAGCGCGTGCACAACCCCGTGCTGTGGGAGCGCTACAGCGTCAAGCGACGCGAAATGTTGCATTGCATCAAAAGTCAGGAGCACTATGATCAACTCCAAACGTCCACATTAAATGCACCCTCGGGCTCTCCAGCTTTGTTTCGAGATACACCCTGTCAAGAGCGCTTGTTGCTTCACGGCATCGCCCCTGACACAATGTTGCGCGACAAGATTGTGCGCCTGGGCTTTGACTATCGTTTCGCCGGTCGCCGCAGGGGCCACAAGTATGGTCTTGGCGTTTACTTGGCCGACCATCCTAGAAAGGTGTGGTCGAATTGTTGGTTTGCAGGGTTCTACGTGTGTGTCCTCACATTGCTTTTTTGGCGCTGTGTGTCTACTTGAACCTGGGTGTAGAGTCACCATTATGCGACGCCCGGAGCAAACGGCGAGCGGATGCTCATTATTACGCGAGCCCTGTTGGGCCGTGCCTATGTCCATCCTTCGCCTCGTTCTCGGGCACTGGCTCCTCCACTGCTGCCCGCTGCACCCAACAACGAGCGGTTCGTCGAACAAAATTTTCTGATTCTGGCATGCTGCCCGACGTCTCCTGCCCGCCTTCTGCCCGTCTTCTGACCTAGCCTGACCTAACCGCCACGTCTGCCTTTTCTTTTAGATATGATTCGGTCATCGCGACGCCGCTCAATGCGTTTCGCGAGGTGATTATCTTTGAGAATGCTCAAATCTATCCTGAGCTGGTGGTGTACTACACGGCCGATTAGGACGCTCGTGCTGTGTGTTTGTGTGCTTGTGTGCTTGTGTGTTTGTGTGTTTGTGTGCTGCATGCTGTCGGCTTGTCCGTTTGTTGCTTTGCCACATGCCCACGCAAGGGAAGGGGCCATTGATGAATTGACCTCCGGACGGATCCCAATGTCTGGGTGGGGCATCTAGATCATGACACAGGGCAGGGCTGCCCTGTTTCAACGCTTGCTGTGGCGTGCTTCAATGGTCTGTTTTGGACTCGACACAAGGCCAACCGGGGTTGTGACTTGGTCCGATCAGATTTGATCTGGCTTCCATGGCCTTGCCATCCCTTTCCTGCAAAGTCTCTTGCATGTTCCTCTCTTGGCGTCGCCCGTCCAATAGCCATTTCCTCTCTTTGATGAAGCGGTAACTCACGGGCTCACACGCACCGGAAAGTGGACAAGTTGGAAGCGGACACATAGCGGACAAGCGACGACCGGTGGTTGTTAGCGACAACCACCTGCCAGGCGACTTGCTCTCGCCCTTGACCGCAACCCATCACACGAAGAGACACACACGCACAGCTGTTGACATACCCGTGTCCTCAAATCGTTTCGGCTGCGCGCGCGTCGCTACCACCCGCCACCTGAGGGGTGTTCGTGATCACCCCTGTGTGTGTGTGTGTGTGCTCCTGTCGCTGCCAAGAAAGGAGAAGGCTACGACATGTACCTGATCTTCAGCAGGTCTTGGAAGAAGTTGTTTCTCGTGTACAGCCGCCGATTAGGAGTTGGAGCCCTCAGCCCACGCACTTGAGACGCACGCAGCGTCGGTAATACACACACACACACACACACACACACACACACACACACATCGAGCTGGCTGTCCATGCGCTGCCTCTGCTGGTATCACGATGGCCTGCTGTCCGTTGTCCCTCTGCTCGGTTGTGACACCGGTTGGACATGACATGAACGACCCGTGGCAACCCAGGGTCCCCTGCAGTCAGTCATCCCATGTCCCACTCGATACCAATGCTCGTCCCCACAGCCCTCACCCCCCGGCTTTGGTCTCTCTCGATTCCGTTTTCCTTGCTCATGGGCACTCCCCAATCGCCCATGGATCAGCCACACACACACACACACACACACGCACACACACACGCACGCACGCACACACACACGCTGGCCCACTGTCCGCTGAGCGTGGCTAAGTGGAGGCTGGGTGTCACTTGAGTCGCGCGTCATCATCACCTGTGTTGGTCCATCGGTCATGCGCGTTCTCTCAGCCTCACTGCTCTGGCCCCAATGCACGTCGACCACTTCAAGTCAACACGTCGGCCCCTGGTTCGATGACCGCTGCCTTGCACGTTGTCCTTTGCGCCGGTGGGCGACCAACAGTCAACCTCAGTCACCTCCATCACCCCGCACCTTGCTTTCGGTTCACTCACGATGCACTCTCCTTCCACCCCCGCCTCCCCCCCTCTCTTCCTCTGCCAGTTGGCCCTCACTACCCTTTATCATGGTCCCTGCTCATGATCCTTCAGGTGGTCCCGGCCGTTACACAAGGCCATCTCACTCTCAAGAAGACGAGGCCGCCGTGTGCTTTCTGCTTCCGTCACACATGATGCGCTGCCCAGCGGGGTTGCCCCTGCAAGCATCCAGGCTGCCAGCCACCCATCCTCTTGACCATTCCCCTTATCCAGCTAGCCACTCGTCCACTCGTCCACCCGTTCACGCGCGAGGCCAGGCCGACTCGCCGTCGCCTTGCCCATCATCCACAGGCCCCACCTTTCTCCCGCTTTTGCCCTCCGACCCTGCATGGCCAGTCTTCATCACGCCACCGTGACAGTTGACCATTGCATTGCCCTCCGTGATCCAGACGTGTCGCATCGAAAACCGTCACCTCTTCCCCACGCTCCCAATTGCCATTCGTGACACGCAGGCATACACATACACACACACACGCACACTCGCGCACACATCTGGGATCTCGCCGTCGCTCTCACCGCCATTTTTCTCAGTCCTTCGCCGGCCACCACCGGACTTGTTTCCCCACCTCTTCTCCACCGCCGCCGCCCACATCTTCTTCCGCTGGCCCCTTGCCGGCTTGCTCGCCTCGTCTTTACACCCAGCTGGGTCTCAGTGGATGTCCCATCCGCCACTTTCCCCGTTCATATTTATCAACGGCCACCAATTGCCGTCAACATGCTGCTGCGCCTAGTTTTAACCCTGGCCGTGGCCACCACGGCCGTGCACGCTGTACGTGGATGGGGGACCAAATTATCTGCAATGTCTTGCAAACCCGGGCTCGAGAAAAATCGGACCGCTCTCACGATCATCGCCCCGCTCACCTGGCTGCTCTGGTCCATGATGTAGTTTTGCGGCAACGGCGTCATTGGCAATGGCGAGACCTGTGTACGTCCAACCGCGCTCGAGATTGAGACCTTGCCCAGTCACTGCAAAACGACCAAACTCACACGAACCGATCCGGCTCCTCCGTGTTGATAGGATGATGGCAATCGCTTCAACGGCGATGGCTGCTCCGGCGCTTGCATGATTGAGGATCGATTCACTTGCGTGGGTGGCCAAGAGGAAGGATCACCATCGGTTTGCCTGCCTGATGTGCCCGACTACTGCACCCCCCGGTACGCCGCACACTCGGCTTGTCCAGACTTGTGAAATTCAGCCGGCACAGCCTCTTGCACTGCCCGCCGGCCTCCTCATCCCTTGCCCATTTTGATTCACCAGGAACCCTTTTACCACGACCACCCGTGGGCGCCCCGCTACGACCACAACATCCACGCGTCGCCCCATGACGACCACCGCATCCTCCTGCCCTCCCTTTGATCCTTGCAACTGCAAGCCCAATGCCGAGGCTGAAAACTACTATGATCGTGACGGCTGCCTTCAGTGCCGTTGCGTTGCCACGGGCCCGGTCGAAACCACCACCACACGTCGTCCGGCTACCACCACCACCACTACGACGCGCCGCCCAACTACCACCACCACTACGACGCGCCGCCCAACTACCACCACCACCACGCGCCGCCCAACTACCACTACTACCACCACGCGCCGCCCAACGACGACAACTACTACTCAGGCGCCATGCCCAACATACGATCCCTGCAATTGCAAGCCCAATGCCGAGGCTGAAAATTACTATGATCGTGATGGCTGCCTCCAATGCCGCTGCGTTGCCACGGGCCCCATCGAAACCACCACCACCACCACTCGTCGGCCGGCCACCACCACCACAACCACCACCACCCACGCTCCTACCACCACCACTACCACCACACGCCGTGCCCCGACGACGACGACGACCACCACACAGGCCGCACCGGAGACAACGACGACCACCACACGCCGCCCAGTCACAACCACGCGTCGCGACGACGACAATGATCACAACGGAGATGATGACGACAATGATGACAACGACGCTCAATGCAAGAGCAACCCGCTTGATTACTGCGAGTAAGCTGCACTTGAATCTCACCCCGTAGTCACACTCTGTGTACCTCATGCCCTGAGGCGTAGTTCTAATGGCTTACAGCAAGGGTTTGACTCACTTTGATTCGATTTTTTCCATAGCTGCGACTCGACTGAAATTCCCGTCTTGAAGATCAACAACAAGGGCTGCTTGGCTTGCAAGTGCGAAAGCCTGAACGGCGAAGAAGAAGACGACGACGAGTCTTCCAACTGCAAGCCAAACCGCTGGGATTACTGCGAGTAAGTCTTCATTGGGCCGTCGACCTGTGCGTCCAATCACGACCTCGCTCACTTCCTCTGCTTGTTTTGGACTGTGACTCCACAGCTGTGCCTTTGGTGAGGTGGCCGTGCCCAAGATTAACAACAAGGGTTGCGAAGCCTGCAAGTGAGTGATGGCTTTCCTCGTGTCTGACAGAAATGTGACTGGACGGCTTGCACCCACGCACACATGCACACTGCCCTTGACATAATTTTTGCTCTGCGCTCACAATTGTGTTGCTTTTTCACCATCAAGGTGTATCACGACCGAGGAATATGAGGAGCAGCGAAATCGCCGCTCGGTCATGGAGCATCCCGATGCTGATAAGTTTGACGTGTGCAAGTACGTTTGAAATCTGGCACACCCCTTTGCCATACGAATTTCGTTTCGAGAGCTCATGCTGATACTGACCCGTGATGCAGCTGCAAGGAAGATGCCGTGAGTGTATGGGAATTCACCAACGATGGCTGCGCCACTTGCTCGTGCAAGCACCCCGCACTTTGCTCGGACAGGATCGAGCTTGCAACAGGCGACGACTGCTCGGTACGCCCCTGCTTTGGCCACAAGCAAGCATGGCGGGCCATTGCCACCTTGCTGTAGCCAAACACAAGCAAGAGCTCGCAGCCTTCCACTAACATTGTGCCTGCTGCTCGCACCTATTGTGATACAGTGTGGTACCAGGGATTGCTTTGAATGTGAATACCGCTTTGGCGAGCCCGGGGCTTGTCAGGTCTGCCGCCGCGGCACAAAGCTGCTTGATGGCGAATGCTTGGACGAGTGCCCCGATGGCTTTGAGGTGGCAGGATCGGGTAAACGTCATTTGCAATGCGTGCTAGCACCCCCAGCGCCTACTGGTACTTCTACCTCGACCTCGACCTCGACCTCGACCTCGACCTCGTCGTCGTCCTCGTCGTCGTCCTCGTCGTCAACCTCTTCTTCCTCCTCCTCGTCATCTC